TTGTGCAAACACTGACTTTACGCACTTTGACTGTAGTAAGTAGCTTTGACCTTCGAAACCTGGGAAAGATGGTGCCAAAGACAGCAGGCCTGAGAACACACAGCACACTGCGCATCCAGCACAGGTTCACCCTCCCATGAGGGTGGCCGGCAGGTGGTGGATGGGCGAATGATCACAAGGCAGGAGGGTTTACCCAGCTGTGGTGCCCTCAAAGCCACTCATTCGAACCCTGTAAAGGCAAGGATGGCGTTGAAGGCAGGGATGGCATGGTGGTGCCAGTGAACTAAGCTGCTGAATGACAGCCTGGGGTGAGGAATGAGGGGCAGGAAGGGGGCTTTGGGCCAGGAAACAAGGCTTCAAATCCCTGGGAGAGCTGAGCGATGGGCATGGGTGTCACCAAGAGAGTTGCTTCCACACGGCCAAAGCCCTGCACCAGGAAGCTCCACGTAGAGAGGGCAAAACCCACTGCGACAATGGTGCTGAGATAGGGAGTGAGGCAGGAAGCAAGGGACGGAGCCAACAAGGCAGGATGACCAGAACACTGGTCCATTTTAGTACAAAAAGGTTTTTGCAGGTATTTTCCATAATGCAATTTCAAGACCCCTTGTATCTTGGAGAATTTTCCATATTATTCCAATACACAGCTTGGCTGAGTCTCCAAATACTGTCCGAGGGTGGATGCTGAACATGGTGTCGGGCACTTCGGGGCTCTCTGCCCACTCCACTCCCACTTCCAGCTCCCTACCAATGCGTGTCCTGCTGGTGGGTCAGGCCTCGAGTTCCTGCCAACCATGTGGGAGCCTGGGTTTAGTTTCAGGATCCCAGCTTGCCTTGGCCCAGCCTGGGCTGCAGCAGGCTTTGGGAAGTAGACCAGTCATTCAAATAAAACAAGTAAAAGTTAATTTTTTTTAAAGATTTATTTTTATTGGAAAGGCAAATATACAGAGAGGAGAGACAGAGGGGAAGATCTTCCGTCCGATGATTCACTCCCCAAGTGAGCGCAACGGCTAGAGCTGAGCCAATCCGAAGCCAGGAGCCTCTTCCGGGTCTCCCACACGGGTACAGGGTCCCAAAGCTTTGGGCCGTCCTCAACTGCCTTCCTGGGCCACAAGCAGGGAGCTGGATGGGAAACATAGCGGCCGGGATTAGAACCGGTGCCCATATGGGATCCCGGGTGTGCAAGGTGAGGACCTTAACCACTGCGCCACTGCGCTGGGCCCGTGAAAGTTAGTTTTTAAAAATGTCATTCACTTGCCACACTGAGTGGTCAGTGCCAAGGCACTGTTGAATGCTCTGGATCTGTGGGTTCCACCCCCCGGATGTGGGGATCCCCAGGAATGATGGGCATCCTCAAGGATGGGACCAGCATCACTTCGGTCACCTAGCACACAAAGGAGTGTGAGGGCTGACCCACGAGGCCTACATAGGTCTGGCTCTGTGGCCCTGGCTACACATCCCAGCTCCCAGACCATGGGAAGTGGATTCTGGGTGCAGCCACCTAGCGTGGCGGTGAGGCGGTTGTGGCTGCAGGCTATGGTGAGTCCTCTTTCCCTGGGGCCTCCAGGGAAGGCACAGAAGGTCGTTTTTTCCTGATGACCAAGAGGTCTCAGCAGACTGTGGTTGCTGAGAGGCAGGGAGAGCTCTTTCACCAACTGCTTCACACCCCTACTGGCCTCAAAGACCAGGCCTGGGGCAGGACGAAGCAAGGCGGTTCTGGGTCTCCCATGTCAGTGCAGAGACCCAAGCACTTGGACCATCTCCCCTTTGTTCCCAGGCACATTGGCAGGGGGCTGGATGGGAAGTGGACCAGCTGGGACCTTAAATGGTACCCATACAGGATACTGGCTTTGTAGGCAGTGGCTTCACCTGCTGCCGCACAGTACAAGCCCCAAGAGTAGGTTTTAAAATGACATTGAAAATGCAAATGTTCGGGCCCGGCACAGTGGCGCAAGTGGTTAAAGGTCCTCGCCTTGCACGCCCGGGATCCCATATGGGCGCCGGTTCTAATCCCGGCAGCCCCGCTTCCCTTCCAGCTCCCTGCCTGTGGCCTGGGAAAGCAGCAGAGGACGGCCCAAAGCTTTGGGACCCTGCACCCACGTGGGAGACCCGGAAGAGGCTCCTGGCTTCGGATCGGCATAGTATCGGCCCGTTGCGCTCACTTGGGGAGTGAATCATCAGACGGAAGATCTTCCTCTCTGTCTCTCCTCTGTGTATATCCGCCTTTCCAATGAAAAAATAATAAAAATAAATCTTTTTAAAAAAATGCAAATGTTCTGTTTGGACAAATACGTGGTGTGGAGTCAGCACAGGTCACCTGGATCTCCATGGAGTCGACAGAGGCCCAATCAGGCTGACAGATTTATTTTTTTAAAGATTTATTTTATTTTTATTGGAAAGTCAGATATACAGAGAAGAGGAGAAACAGAGAGGAAGACCTTCCATCCAATGATTCACTCCCCAAGTGACTGCAACTGCCGGTGCTGAGCCGATCCGAAGTCAGGGGCCAGGAACTTCCTCCAAGTCTCCCATGTGGGTGCAGGGTCCCAAGGCTTTGGGCCGTCCTTGGCTGTTTTCCCAGGCCACAAGCAGGGAGCTGGATGGGAAGTGGAGCTGATGGGATTAGAACCAGTGCCCATATGGGGTCCTGGGGCCTTCAAGGCGAGTACTTTAGCCACTAGGCCACCACGCCAGGCCCCAAAGCTGGCAGATTTTAGAGACAGGGTGGCTGGGTGAGCCCTAACTGCTGCCTGGGGGTGGGTCGGCCTCAGTAGGTATGCTCAGCTGTCCCAGCTGCAGTGTGTGCGGCTCTCACAGTGGTGCCTGCATTACTGGTCAGGGCTGCAAGGAGAGCTGGGTGATGTGCTGAATGGTGCTGAGCCTCCTCAAGAGGCAAAGTGGCCTGCAGGGGGACCAGCCACCATCCAGTGCATCTCACCAAGCCCCTTAGCCTGGGATCTGCCAGCACTGTGGCTGCCAGAAAGGATTCAGACCACAGTCATTATTCAGCCTGCAGCCCTGGTACTCAGGCCAGTCCTGTGGCAGAAGATGAGGACATGAGACTGGGCAGGAGGCAGGAAAAGGGTCCAAGGTGAGGCAGGCCCATCTGGCTGCTGCAGAGGGAGCCATCAGGACACTTCACTACTGGGCAGTGTGTCTCCCATGGGAGCTGGGCAGGTGCCTTGGGAGAGACCACTCGGTGAGAGAGGAGCTACTCCTGTGGCCTCGGGCTGCTGGAGCAGACACTTCCTGGAAAGCGAGCATCCCAGCTCCCTGGTGCCTAGCTCTCAGCACCATTACTTGGTACCAGGGACCACGCCTCCAACAGGCCATGGGTGTGCCACAGCAGCCCCTCCTGCCATTCTGCCCATGCAGTCATTCTGCACCCTTGGTCTTGGAGAACTTGAAAGCTGAGGTTTTGGAAAACGCTAGTGGGTCATGTGGTAAAACTAGTGTGTTGACTGAAATGTTAGCTAGAGTGGACTAGAAAAGGGTTAGGAACATCAGAGTGTAGCTTGGGTAAAACAAGTCATCAGGTTGCACCCTGGGTAATGCAGGCCATCAGGGTGCATTCTGGGTAATGCAGGCCATCAGGGTGCATTCTGGGTAATGCAGGCATCAGAGTACATCCTGGGTAAATCAGGCCATCACAATACACCCTGGGTAATGCAGGCTGACAGGGTACATTCTAGGGGATAGACAGCTTGCTGGAGGGCTTAGTGGCTTGTAACCCATTCTTCTGAATAGTTGTATTGGGAAAAGATTAGCATGTGCATCCAATTTCTTACTGCAGGTTGTGATCAAGTATTTGAAGGACACTGTGATATGTGGGTATGTTGCTTTACAACTTAAGAATAAAATGTCCATTTTGGAAACCTACAAATGAAGTTGGATCAGAGCTGGGTCTGACCGCAACCAGTGACTTGCTGTGGCTGCCATGTCATGCTGGCGGCAGCAGCGGTGGAGACCACAGTAGTGTGGTGCCTCGCCTGGGTGGAGGCCAAGGTCTCAGTTCACTCCCTCCAGAGGTGCCAGGAGGGCCGGCACTGAATGTGTGCTGTTCCTGGTGGCTCTTGGCACTGCTTTGGCATCCTGGACAAGACCTGGTGTCCCCCAACATGCCTGGGTATCACTGTAGTCTGCCTCCGTTTTCATCTTACTTTTTCCTGTGCCTCCTGTGGTGCCTCCAGTCTCCCTCAGCTTCTCAGAAGGACGCTTGCCTGGGTGCTCCCAGGTGACCTCCTTTCAAGACTCATGTTGTGCCTGAACCAGGCCAGGTCCGTGGCTGTGGAGCTTTGGGCAGCCTTGCATTGCTGTTCTGAGAGCCACCTCCTTCCCCCACTGGAGTGAGCACCCTTAGGCCTGTGGGGGAGAGAGGGGGTGAGGGAGACACAGCAGAGTCTTTCCTCCCTGCAGGGGAGCCCTGGTCTGGTACTCCTCCCCAGGTCAGGTGCAGTGCCCCAGGCCACACAGGGAGAATGCCCGGAAGCAGGTGCTGGGTGGAGCTTGTTGCCTCCTGCTCTTGAGGACAGGGGAAGGAGTTCCCATACAACACACAGATTTCTTCCCAGGTGTGTACAATTTGGGAAAGAGTGAGACACTCCCGGTCTTTGTGTGATTCCGAGAGATTAGTTTGCTTGTTAATTCTGCAAGAACTTCTGAAAAAAAAAAATGTCCTTGTTGGGCTTCCCTGTGGTGTGGGGTCAAAGCGACAGCTGCAGTGTGGCATTCCTGGGGGAACTCTGGAGGGTTGCCCAAGTGCGTGGGCTCCTGCAGCCCCGTGAGAGACCAGGCTGGAGCTCCTCATCTGGCTTTGACCCGGCCCAGCCCTGTGCAGCAGAAAGAAGAGCTTTCTCTCTGTCTTTCCCACCTCTGTAGCTCTGCCCTCCAAATAAAGTCGTATATTTAAAAACAAAAGCTTGAAAGCAGGTGAAGGAATCCCAGGAATGCCCTCCCGCTGAGCAGGACCAAGAGTGTTTGTTGTGAGCAGGGCCCCGTCATCCATGTGGAAACCCTGCTGGTCTGTGACCTTGTCTGTCTCCCACACAGGGACCAACAGGACTTCCAAGGGGCGCAGTCTGATCGGCCGGCACCCCACCTCCCCAGCAGTCCCTGGGAGGAGCGCCTTGGTGCAGCCGGGCCTCTCTGTGGATGAGTTCTCCCAGTCGGTGCTCACAGGGAAGCTGACCACCGTCTTCCTCCCGATAGTGTACACGCTCGTGTTTGCGGTGGGCTTGCCAAGCAACGCCATGGCCCTGTGGGTCTTCCTGTTCCGCAGCCAGAAGAGGCACGCGGCGGTCATCTACATGGCCAACCTGGCCGCGGCCGACCTGCTGTCGGTGTTCTGGTTTCCCCTCAAGGTCGCTTACCACCTGCGCGGCAATGACTGGGTCTACGGCGAGGCCCTGTGCAGGGTGCTGGTGGCTTTCTTCTACGGCAATATGTACTGCTCCATCCTCTTCATGACCTGCCTCAGCGTGCAGCGCTACTGGGTCATCGTAAACCCCATGCTGCACCCCGGCCGTGCCGCCCGTGTGGCCCTTGGCGTCTCCCTGGGCGTCTGGCTGCTCGGCCTGCTGCTCACCATTCCACTGTATGTGGTGCAGCAGACCGTGCACATCCCGGCCCTGAACATCACCACCTGCCACGACGTGCTGCCTGAAGAGGTGCTGGTGGGTGATATGTTCAGCTACTTCCTCTCGCTGGCCATTGGCGCCTTCCTCTTCCCAGCTGTGCTCACGGCCTCGGCCTACGCGCTCATGATCCGGACGCTGCGCTCCTCAGCCATGGACGAGGCCTCAGACCGCAAGAGGCGGCGGGCTGTGCGCCTGGTGATCACCGTGCTGGCCATGTACCTGCTCTGCTTCACGCCCAGCAACCTGCTGCTGGTGGTGCACTACTTCCTCATCCGCACTCGGGGCCAGAGCCACGTCTATGCGCTCTACCTCGTGGCCCTCTGCCTGTCCACACTCAACAGCTGCCTCGACCCCTTCGTCTACTACTTTGTCTCGCAGGAATTCCGTGACCACGTGCGCCACGCGCTCCAGTGCCGCAGCGTGCGCACGGTGAAGCGCATGCAGGTCTCACTCAGCTCCCAGAAGGTCTCACGCAAGTCTAGCTCCTACTCCTCCAGCTCAACCAGTGTCAAGGCTTCTTACTGAGCCTGCATGGCTGCTAGAGGTGGACGTGGAGGCGTGGGCTTGACACACACTTCTCAGGACATGGGCAAGCCTCCCTGACTGACATGGAGACCTGGCTGCCTGCTTAAACTGTCATGTCTTTCACGTCCGAGGTCAGTTGTGGCATTGCTCCCTCAGTCTGAGGCCGCCCACCCGGTGCTGGCAGCATCCCTGCAAACCAGGATTCTTACCGAGGCCAGTGTCAGGAGGTGGGGTTCTTTGATCGCTTCCTTCTCCCTTGCCGTGGGTGCTGCTGAACACAGGCTGGGTGCAGGACTGGCACCTGCTAGAATTCTGAAAGACAGCACCATGGCGACATATGGGAAAGTTCGAGAATTGCTGCTTTCCCAGTCTGCTCCAGAGCCATGAGCGCTTTGATAGCCGGAAACACTCTGTGAGGCCTCAGGGCTACCTGTGTGTGTCGCTGTTGAAGGTTCTGAGGTAGTCACCTGTCCGTGACTAACTGTGGAACTGGCTCCAGGCTGAGTGAGACATCCCACATCCAGCAGACCCTCCACTGGCATGTGGGACCCTCTGTTGGGCTGTGTTTGGCCAATCTTGTTCCCTTGTCATGGGGCAGGAAGTCACGGTCTTGGCAAGTTCACAGCAGGGGGTTGCGGGACAGCCCAAGGTACCTGCTTGAGGAACCCAGACCAGCTGCCTCCGCTCTGACTGTGAACATGATGAGTTCTCAACTGGCTGATTTATAACAAAGTTTTTTACAATGCATGTCTGAGCTGTTTGATTCTGAAGGAGGCAGGGGCTCTGCTCCACCGCTGAGAAATCGGGGATGTGTCGGGATGCAGCAGGGGGCCTCTCTCACATGTCACCTCTGTGGCCCCCTCGGGCTGTGCCCCCAGTCTGTCTGTATGCAGGCCTCTCAGAGCCCTGGAGTGGAGTGGCCACGTCTGAGCTGCTACAGCGCTTGCCGGTTGCCTTCGCTAACTTGCCTAGCGGTGTGTTTGTACCTCTGCCTGCCTTCTGACTGGGGGCCACTGATGCGTCGTGCTTTATTCTGAGGAAGCTGTGCAGTGTGCAGCCCGGCCGCAGGGAAGGGAGCGTCCTGCTTTTTGAAGCAGGTAGTGTTGATCCCTCATGACCGGGTGTGGCTGCTCGCGTGTTACGATCACTTAGCACTGTCCCTGTCACTGCCAACCCCATAGCTCTGGTGATCTGTGTCAACCCCCATCTGAATGGCTTGATGGAAAATTCCAGAAACAAACAGCTCACAGGCTGCAAACTGGTGGGCCGCTGAGCAGCTCTGAGTCATTCCGTGGTTCCAGGTCTGCTGCCGGGGGGAGAGGCCTTGTAGGGACACTTGGGCAGCTGTGGGCTGGTTCATAGCACCTGTGTTTAGGGAGCCCTTGTTTTCCTGGACTGTGGAACCTGTGTGTTCGAGCAGGACCTCTGAGGAGCCGCCTCTAAAGGAAAAGTGGGAGGACACTGGGAGAGAGGGGCCATCACTCATGTGACCACATCGTTTCCCAAAGCTTGTTAAAATTATTTGAAAGGCACTGTGAGAGAGGTGTTTGATCCGTTGATTCACTCCCTAAATGCCTAGAGGAGCCAGGACTGGTGTGGCCAAGCCAGGAACTCCATCTGTCTCCCATGTGGGTGGCAGGGTTCCGAGCCCTAGGGCCGTCTGCATCCTTGCAGGCTGTGCTGTAGCAGGGAGCTGGATCTGGAGTGGAACGGGAAGTTGAACCTAGGCACCCCACGGATGTGGGATGTGGTCATCCCCCGTGGTGTGCTGACTGCTGCCCCTCGTTCCCAGTGGCCAGGCAGGCCTCTGGACAGTCCACCTGGTCATGCTTGTTGTCCCATTTCCAGGTGTGTGTACAGATTGGGAGAAGAGACTCAGGACATGAGACCAGAGCAGCCCTGCTGGAGCTCCCAGGTGGTCAGCCAAGGTGACAGCTCATGTCTGGCTGGCCTTTCTCTTCCGACGTGCTCTGGCACAGGCTGTCCTGGGCCCAGCACTCCTTGGACCCTGTGAGGCATTCCCAGGAGCCACTTGGCTGGCTGTTTGCCCAGCTTCTGGCTATCAGGTCAGCATCAGCCTGTGAGCTCATCAGCATGCATAGTTTCCTGCTGGCAGCTTGACCAGTCCAGCATTGTCGCTGCAGGTGTCTGCCCCTGCTGGGGACAAAAGCTTCTCACACTAGACTACCCACATCCCTTGGTTTCCATGTTTTGGCTTTTGATTTTTTTAAAATGATATTTACGTTTTTGAAGGGTGGAGTGAGAGAGAAGGAAAAGTCTTCCATCCATCATTCCCCAAATGACCATAACAGCCTGAGCTGGCCCAGGCCGAAGCCAGGATCCCTGAGCGCCACCTGGGTCTCTCACATGGCTGCAGAGGCCCAAGCACTTGGGCGTCCAATGCTGCCTTCCCAGTGCACTAGCAGGGAGCAAGTGTGGTAGCTGGGAGTGGAAGTGGTGCAGCCATAGGGATAGGGCCTCGCAGGTGGTAACTTGGCTACAGCACTTCCCAGACTCTGAATCCTGAAGGGCAGGTAAGCCGCTGGGGCTCTGGCATGAATTCAGAGCTGTCAGTCAAGCCTCAGACCTCCCTGAGCTCTGTGTGAGCTGTCAGGTCTAACCCTAACCCTACCACCTCCCCCCAGCCCTGACCCCAGTCCCCAGCCCCCCAGCCCTGACCCAGTCCCCAGCCCCCCAGCCCTGACCCCAGTCCCCAGCCCCCCAGCCCTGACCCCAGTCCCCAGCCCCCCAGCCCTGACCCCAGACCCCAGCCCCTCAGCTCTGTCCCCAGCACTACCTCCTTTCCCCAGTGCTGCCGCACCCTCACCTTCTACAGAAGTGCAAGGGGGAGTGTAGTGTGGTGCTTAAGTCACTTGCAGTGCCTGCAGCCCATCCCAACTTCCAATGCAGGCTGCTCTGCTTCCTGCTAACTCCCCTGGGCCCCTGCCGCCCACATGGGACATGCAAGGTGGAGTTCCTGGCTCCTGGCTTCAGCCCAGTATAGCCCTGGTTGTGGTGGATGTTTGGGAATTGAATCAGCAAATTTGCTCTCTCTTCCCTTCAAATAAATGTGGAAGTATCAGTGGTTCATGTGAAAATGAACTTGAGTGGACTAGATGCACAGAGAGGCATGGGGCGTGCCCTGGGCACAGCCCAGCTTCCTGCCCCCAGTCACCAGGAGGCGTGTCCCTCAGTGCATGGTCCATGCACTTAGATAAACAGGAGAAATTGGGGCTGCCCCGCACCCTGTGTCAGTGAGTCACACCTGAGACAGTGACTCACCTGCAGTTTCTGGGGTCAGGAGTCCAAGGGTAGGACAGCCACATCCCCCGGTATTGGGTCTTCCCCCGGGATCCACCGGAGGTGTGACTGGGTGCATGACCTGCCGCCACGCGACCCAGCCCTGGGGTGTAAGCCAGTGGCTTGGGCAGAACACCCAGCTCCTTGCTGTGTGGATCCTTCCCTGCTACAGTGGCCCCAGAGGACTGGTGTTGCTGTGCACTTTGAGCCCCTCAGATGGGCGGCCCCCTGGGGACTGAGTAAGCTGTACCTTCTCTGTGCAGGTGACCACTCCTTGAGGTGACTGTGGCTCAGCTTGCCTGTGTGAGCATGTCCTGTGGGGGCTGCACCTTGAGCTGTCTGTCCAGTGATGGGTGTGATAGCTTTAGGGTACTGGCCACAGTCGCCACAGCCCCTGGCCAGCAAAGGACACAGACCCTGCTGCATGGGGCTCAGGTCAGCTGTGTGTGTATGAGGTGGAGGTTGGGTAGCAGGACTTTGCCCTGCTGTGGCTGACGGAAGTGTGAGGCAGACAGGTGAGGCAAGCCTGTGTGAGGTGGATGAGGTGAGGGGACGAAGATTCCTGTGGTATGCTCCCCTCTCAGCAAGGCTGACAGGACACGACCCAGTAGTAGCTCAGAGCCCGAGTGTCATATCCTGAGGCAGGACTGGATCTGAGCAGGTGGGATATCAGTGCTAAGGTGACCTGGAAACTGCTCACAGAAGCACGTCCCAGCTGAGGAGCCAGGGGCAGGCGGGTTGTCCCTCCATGTCAGCCGCTGCCTCAGCTAGTCCCCAGGAAGTCGTTGGCTCCAGTGCCCAGGCCGGGAGGAGTGTCTGCAGACGGGAGGGGCAGTGTCTGAGTAAGGGTTTTGCCTGATGGATGATAGCGGGGAAGTTAAGAGTGGCAAGATCTGTATCGCCATAACTGCTGGGCGGGCGCCGGTGTCGCTGAGGGGAATGTCCTAAGTGGCATTCAGGGATGCAGGGAGGAGTTTGCCACCTCACGTGTCCTTACACAGAGGACACAGCGATGCCACTGAGCGAGCTGCTGCTGGTAAGGAGCGGGTTGTCACAGGGACTGGGAGCCCGCGATCTTCAGAGGGGCTGGCAAGAGGCGTTCAGCGTGGCAGTGCCCATCGGCTGCGACAACGTGGAGCGTGCATGCTGGGGACCTGACAGGCCCTCTGGGCTCAGTGACATGGGGTGGGAAGCCAGGAATGAGTGGGTTCTGCGGACATGTGAGGAGGGTGTTTGGAGCAGCAGTTCTGTCCCCACTTTGGGCACGTTTGTTTCCAGCTGCAAGACCTGGTCCATGTCTCAGGGACAGCTGTTCGTGTTCATGTACACCCTACGAGGCAGTTGTCAGGGCCTTGCTTCTTGTGCCCCTGCCTCCCACACAGGGGACCTGGGTGAAGCTCCCGGGTTCCTGGCTTCAGCCTGGCCCAGCCCCTGCTGTTACAGGCAGTTGGGACATATACTTGTTTCTCTACCTTTCAGATAAAAAAATAAGAAGAAAAGAAAAAGAGACTGTCATGGCTGGCCTTCCGGTTGCCTGCTGTTCCCTCCACAGGTGCTGAAAACCTAGGAAATAGCGCCTTCTTCTGTCAGAGCTAGGCATTGCAGCCTCCCTGGTGCCACTGTTGAGAATTTTAGAATCTCTAAGTGCCTTTTCATTTGTTGAGAGATTAATTTATTTTTGTTGGAAAAGCAGATTTACAGAGAAGGAGAGACAGAAATATTTTCTATTAATTGGTTCATTCCCCAAGTGATTGCAATGCGCGGAACTGAGCCAATCTGAAGCCAGGAGCTTCTTCCAGGTCTCCCACACAGGTGCAGGATCCTAAAACTTTGGGCCGTCCTCTACTGCTTTCCCAGGCTGCTAGCAGGGAGCTGTATGGGATCCCGGCACGTGAAAGGCAACTATTTTGCCACTGAGCCGTAATGCCAGGCCATCCTGTGTGGTTGTTTTTTTTTTTTTTTATTGTGTAGTTCCATAGACTCACAGGTATCCCCCCACTCCCCGACTTCCCATATATTATAATATAGTCCTTCAAAAACATTCTGCTATTTAGTGCATCATGATATTGTAGGTGTCGACAATGTTAGAAAGTCTAGTTCCCTCCTGTCAAGATGTATTGGACAGTTTCATTGGGATTCCATCTTGTATTCGAGAGTAGAGCAATGTTCTGCAACACATCTTCCCGGTGTGTTAGCCTCCACGATGTCATTCATCTTTGTAAGTGCATGTTTACCTATGTGTCTATTTTGTGTGGAGGTTGCCTTATACTTACTTTTCAGAGCTTTAGTTTATTTGAAAGACAGAGTGACAGAAAAGAGGGGGCAGGGCAGAGAAAGAGGGAGCTGGCTCTGCCACTTGCTGCTGCTGGTTTGCTTCTGAAACAACAGCAGCCAGAAGCGCCCTGGGTCTCCCATGTGAGTGCTGGGGCCCCAGGCACCAGGGCCATCTTCCTCTGCTGGGTGCACTAGTAGGAAGTGGTTCAGAGTAGAGGAGCTATGACTGGAGCTGGCCCTCAGCATGTTGTGTGGAAGGCCCAGGCGTGGCGGAGCTGGCACTCAGCATGTTGTGTGGAAGGCCCAGGCGTGGCGGAGCTGGCACTCAGCATGTTGTGTGGAAGGCCCAGGCGTGGCGGAGCTGGCACTCCACATGGTATAGATAGGTGTCCCAGGCAGTGGCATAAGCATGGTTCACCCTCACCCCCCCAGCTTTTGTTGTTGAAAAACGCCTTTCTGCACGGTAGCTTTGCTGCATGGGGCAGCCCGGCGGCTGTGGCTGCCTAGGGGCTACCGTGTGAGGTCTGCAGTTGAGGGGCCCAGCTGTACTGGTGTGCTTTTTTTTTTTAAAGATTTATTTGTTTTTATTGGAAAGTGAGATATATACAGAAATAAGGAGAAAGAGGAAAATCTTCTATCCATTGATTCACTCCCCAAGTTCCTACAGCGGCCGGAGCTGAGCCGATCCGAAGCCAGGAACCAGAAGCCTCTTCTGGGTCTCCCACAAGTGCAGGATTCCAAGGCTTTGGGCCATCCACGACTGCTTTCCCAGGCCACAAATAGAGCTGGATGGGAAGTGGGGCCACAGGAACACGAACTGGTGCCTCTGTGAGATCCTGGTGTAAGCTGGATGAGGACTATAGCCCCTAGGCCATGCTCCGGGCCTTGCAGGCTCGCTCTCTGACCTGCGGACTTGATGGCATGGTTGGTTCAGACCTGACCTCGCAGTAGCTGCATGGCTCTGTGTGTGTCTAGGCTTGAGCAGCTTTCTGTTTTTCTCTCTGGAGATGCTTCCTGCCCCTCTGTCCCTTTGGTCTTTCTACAGGACCCTCTTGGTGCATGGGACGGTTAAGACAGGTAAGATTCTGAGGTGCCCTAGAGCCCCTGGCTTCAGCCTGGCCCAGCCCCAGTCATTGGAGGTATCAAGATTTATTTATGTTTTAAGGGTGAATTTTACAGAGAGGGGAGACAGAGAGGAAGATCTTGCACTGGTCTACTCCCCAAATGGCCACAATAATCGGAGCTGAGCTGACCTGAAGCCAGGAGCCAGGAGCTTTTCCTCTGGGTTTCCCATGCAGGTGCAGGATCCCAAGGCTCTGGGCCATCTTCTGCTTTCCTAGGCCACAAGCAGGGAGCTGGAAAGGAAGTGGAGCCGCCAGGGCATGGCCTGGTGCCCATATGGATGCCGGCAGCTGCAGATGGCAGGATTAGGCTGTTACTCCACCGTGCTGATCTCCTGCCTGTGGATGTTTCTTAAATGACTTGTTTTAAGGAAAGAGTAATATGCACCGAGAAAGAGAAATAGGGCTCACTCCTTAAATACCTAAAACGTCGGGGTCTCCCATGGGTGTGGTGGCAGGCCCAGGCCTGCCTCGAGATCTGTTCTTAGATGGACCAGGGGCATCATCAGGGTCTCCTGCATGCTTGGAGGGGCCCGGCACCTGGGCCGTCACCAGCTGCCTCCTGGAACTTTCCTTGGCTTGTCCTCTGGGCCCACTGCACATCCCCCATTTCAGCACTAGATGGCACCCAAGTTGAGGGTTGGCTGTTGGTGTGGTGTCACTGTGTCAGGGCCAGAGGGCGCCCATCCCACATTTGTCCCAAATGTGTGTTGTAGAGGGGGACCTGCACTGACCTGGAGGAAAGGCCTCTGGGCTCTGTCCATGCCGGCTCTCTCCTTCAGGGCCACCACCAAGCTCCATGGCAGAGTCCTGTGCAGACTCACTGGCCCTGTCCCCAGGGGCTGGGGGCTGAAGCAGGCATGGGGTGGGGGTGTCCCTTACCTGCCTGGAGCACCCAGTGCTGGCTGGCATAGGGTTAAGGTGTGGACTTGGTTCCCTCTCCCTGCCCGCGGTGGGAGGTGTGGAGCTCTGCCAGGAGAGGAGCAGTGGGAATGTCCACTCTGTGGCCTGTGGCCTGTGCCTCTCACCCAAGCCAGACCTGGTGCTCTTACTGCCCCCACCAGCTCAAACTGGTATCCTGGAGGGAACAACTCTGTTCCTCCCCTAGCCCTGGAATTCTAATTTTAACACCATGTAATGATTCTATTTGAAAGGCAGAGAGACAAATGCATTTTCCATTTCCTTGTTCTCTCTGTCAGTGCCTCCCACAGCCAGGACTGGGCCAGGCCTGAACTGGGAGCCAGGAGCTCCACGGGTGCTGCCAGGGGGTGGGCTGGGGCACCAAGAGAATGCTGGGCTGGAAGCGGAGCCAAGACTGGGCTGTCCTCAGCCGTGCCTTGCCCAGATGCCGCGTGACGTGTGCTCTCAGGGGCTGTTTCTGTTTTTATGGGACTTGAAGAACCTTTCTTCTTATTCTGATGTAGCTTCAAGCTGCACCTGATGGTGGTGCCCGGCCACCACTTCAAGTGAACGCTCTTGGGGCCTCACACCCCACCTGTGCATCAGGACCATGCCCCCTGGAGCCCTTCACTTTCTCCCTTCCCACAGCTAGTGCAGACCCAGCCTCAGATGCGGTGCTGTGGACCAAAGAGACCAGGAGTCTTGGGGAGACGGTCATGCTGCACGTGGCACCATCCTCCCACCATCCACCCCCTTGGCCTCAGGTTCCAGCCTGACACAGCTCTCTGAGCTTTGTTTCTGAAAGGCTCCTGGGCTTGGGGTGAGGCAGGGCTGCCTGGTATTAAAGACAGGAGGTGAGCAGTGTTGTGCTGTGGGTGGGAATGCCACCTGTGTTGCTGGTGGACCCTGTGTTGCTGATTCCAGTCCCAGCTGCTCCACTTCCCATCCAGCTCCCTGCCTGTGGCCTGAGAAAGCAGTGGACAACGGCCCAAAGCCTTGGGACCCTGCACCCGCATGGGAGACCCAGCAGGAACTCCTGGCTTTGGCCTGGCCCAAGCCTCGCTGTTGCCTTCTGCAAAGGGAACCAGCAGATGGAAGATCTCTCCCTGACACTCTGCCTTTCAAATAATTAAATAAATCTTTTCTTCTTTCTTCTTTTCTTTCTTCTAATAAAGTTGCAGTACTGGGGCCTGGCACCAGGTGGCAGCAGACTCTGGGGCGCATTCCTCTGCCAAGGACAAGCAGGTGCCAAGAGGACCCCTGACCCTGTGCCCAGGAATGGGTGGGTGTCTAGGCTCCCATCTCTGAACAGCTCAGCTGTCTTCAGTGCCCAGAGGGGAGGTCTGCTGGGTTCTTCCAGGGATCCCTTAGGCAGCTGCATTAGGGTTAGACAGACATGCATTTCTGTTCTCTGCATGCTGCCATTCTGGGGCTCAGGGCCACAGCGGGCTCAGCCATTGGGGTGGCCACTCCAGATTCACCGTGGGACCCTGCCTCCTCCAGCGCCAACCCCAGCTTCCTCCCCGTGTCTATTTTTAGAGTTTTTCCGGTGATCAGTCCCTCACAAGGGACCCAGTCCCTTCCGGCCCCTGGCATGCCCACACCGGCTCAGTGGCCCTTGGGGCAGCTGCTCACACCTGCGCCTTCTGCTGATTCAAAACAGACCGGGGTACCTCCATCCGTCCGTGAGTCCCGCGTGGCTTGGAACAGGTGTGCGAGGGGCTCCAGGTATAAGTTCTCCAGCTGAGCTGTAAACAGGTTGCGGTGCCAGTTCAAGCCAAGCAGGTACACTCGCTTACACCCTCCTGGTGTCCTTCTCACTGGGTGCTTGACTGTCGCCAACTGGCGAGGGGCTGGATCTGCTGCAGCACTGGGAGGCAGGGAGCAGCCCTGGAGGGGAGTTTACTGGGGCGCCTGGGAGAGGGGCGGAGGCCATTGACTCTGGGGCTCCCCAAACGCTGTGTCTCCCGTCTGCTTACTCCCAGCTGTGTCCCATCCTTGGGTCGGGCGGGAGAGGTCAGCACTGTGCCGAGATGCCCACGCAGCTGGAGGTGGCCATGGACACCATGATCCAAATCTTCCACCGCTATTCCTGCCGGGAAGGGGACAGGTTCAAGCTCAGCAAGGGGGAACTGAAGCTGCTGCTACAGCGGGAGCTCACTGAGTTCCTGTCGGTGAGTGAGGACGGGTGGGCAGCGTGGCGCATCCCGCGTGGGCTGCATGACGCTGGCCTCATGGTGGGCGGCACATCCTGCTGAACCTGGGGCTGAGGTTACTGGTGCCCCCCTAAGCTCTGTGACTCAGCCGCTGACTGGGTCCCTCCTGTGGCCATGTTGGGAGTGGGAGACAAACAGCTGCCACCCCCTTGGTGGGTGCCGGGGTTGCCCTACAGATGTTGCACCCCTCTGGTCTGACCTCTTGCACCAGTCTTCCTGCACACAGCATTATGCTTCTGAGTGTGGTGACCCTGGCCTGGGTGCTCCTTCTGCCACCCTGCCCCCCAGCAGCTTGGGAGGTGGCCCGGGAGCTCAGGAGGTGCTCCCTAGAGCCCTGGGGAACAGAAGTGGGCGGGAAAGGGCTTCACCTGGGAGTTCTGCGCAATGCTTTTGATTCTAGAACTTTTCCAAGTTGGGTTTGGCTCCCACTCTGCCTGATGCTTACAACAGAAGGCCCAGATCAGTTCTCATATTCTGATTGATTCAAGTAGAAGTCATGCTTTGCTGGAGTGTGGTGACTTTGGTTAAAGTTTCCACCCATGACATGATGGCAGCCAGTGCCAGGGCTCCGGGGTGCCCTGACCTCAATGGGCCCTGGTGCCTGTGCTGTGGGCTGCACCCCTCCTTGCATCTTGGGCATGTGCAGTGGGCTGGGGGAGCTACGGGTACAGCCTGCTGCCTGCACTTACCTGTGGACACAGATGGCACTGTTGACCTGGAGGCTGGGTTCATCTGGTACATGGTTCATGTCTGATGAGTTCAGCAGCCCTTGGCTGGGCCACCTCAAAAGGGATTTGCAGGATTGTCAGAATGTATGGGCAGATGTCACTGTCCCCCTCGTGTAAACAAAAAGCCTCAGTTGTTGAGGGATTCCTCTGTGGGTAGAGTGGTGCTCCCAGCCTCACTGGGATCAGTGGGCTGTGTGGTCTGCCTGCTCCTCGGGGTGAGTCAGCATTAAATGTCCACTGGCCAGAGCGAGTCAGCAATAAATGCATGCTGGCCAGGCACTGGGCTTGTTAGGAACATGTGCCTGGTTTAGACCTACCTGCACACAGGTTCTTGGAAACAGGCTGCTACAGTGGACACTGACACTGGTGTGCAGGTCACAGGGCCCAGGAGTGGTCAGAGTCGGATGCCAGACAGTCTCTCTCCTTGTAGTGCCAGAAGGACCCCCAGCTGGTAGATAAGATCATGCATGACCTGGATGCCAACAAGGACAACGAAGTGGACTTCAACGAATTTGTGGTCATGGTGGCCGCCCTGACCGTGGCTTGTAACGATTACTTTGTGGAGCAGCTGAAGAAGAACCGCAAGTGAAGCTGGGGGCTGGGTGGCTCCAGAGGGGCAGCTCTGTGCCCAGACCTCTGCCGGCCCACCGCTCCTTGGAGAGGCCACACAGGTGACTTGTTGCTAGTTATGTACCTACACACACTGGCTCCACAGAAATAGCTCCGATTCCATATGCCCTGCTTGAAGCTTGCCCCTAGCGTCAAAGATGTTCCATGCATGTTCTTTTCTGTCTGCCCCACAAAAAAAGCGTTGCAAGCATGTGGCTATTTGGATAGGAGGCTGGCACCAGGCAAAGGTATCACAGTGTTGTTATCCCAAAGGATTGCTCTGAATGTCCTGCCCTGTCGGCCATTCCCCCTGCTCTGTGACCCTAACTGGCTGGGCGCCATGTTGAGGGGACGTATCCTGAGAAGGCAAATCGGCAGGTGCAGGGCCAGAGCTGACCTGCAACCTGGTGACTTGGGTATGAGCGGCCTTCCCTTTCACGAGAGGCAGTCCTCAGCTAGTCCTCCCACTGTGACCTGAAACTTCCTGGGGTCCCTTACCCTGCTGGCTGGCCACACAACCCCTGCTTCCTGCCCCTTGCAAATAAATGACTTGTCATGAAACCTCCTCTTGGGATTCACTTATGGGAAGCCCAGCTAGGATGGTTCCTCTAGAAGGTCTTAGGAAGTGTCATGTGACCCCTCACTGCTTCATGGCCTTCCTCACTGCCACGTGACCCTCACTGTCAGGTGACCCCTCTCACTATAGCATGACCCCTCACTGTCATGTGACCCCCCTCATTGTCATGTGATCCCCTTCATGGCTGAGGATGGGACCAGCTGGGAGACTACTGCGGTGGCCCAGGTAAGAGACGAAGATTCAACTCCAGGGTCTTGGAGACGAGAAGCGGCTGAGGTGGAGGGAGGCTCTGGAGGCGGTGGGTGTTGAAGGGGGTGCCTGTCTGGTCTGCGGCATTGTGTTTTGCCTGTGGTGGAGTTGGGAGGCGCTTGAGGTGTTGCTAGCAGCCCCTGGCCTGGTAGCAGGTGTGGCCACCAGTGCCCACAGCCAGTTGGAAGGAAACCCAGGATTTAGTTGTGTAAACATGTTCCTTTCCCCTCCGAGGGGCAGACCAGTGTGAAGTCTGACGGGGCAGAGCAGTGCAGGAGGAGTGAGAAAAGGTGTGGGCAGTGTGTGCATGGCTGGTGCCCAGGCAGTAGGGCGAGTCTGTTGTCACACCACCCCTGGTGGTTTCTCTTGGGGCTGCTTCCTGGCTCCGACACAGATGGCCCAAGTCCCGCTTACATTCCATGGAAAGGAGGCACGAGACCACGTCGCGGCTTTGCTGCTCAGAGCAAAAGGCAGGCAGTGAACCAGCCCCTCCTCCGAGGCCTGCAGCAGAGGTCAGCTCAACCAGGGGGCTGAGGAGAGCTGCCAGCAAGTCCTGACGGCCTCGGCCGCTGCTGGATGTGACTCGGCACCGCAGTTGAGTCTGGATCGTGGCATCCCCGGGGTGGGAAAGGGGCTGTCCTGTGACTCCAGGAATGCCACTCTTGGGGGACATGCTCTGGGAATCATCCAGTCCCACAAACTTCTCTGGAAATTGACATCTAAATCAATGTGGGCAAGGACCCCTGGGTGTGAAGTCCCTGGAGACCCGAGTGATAATTAGCAAGCCGTTACGGGGATGGACACAGAGTCGCCTTTGTCCTTTCTGTCCACAAGGTCAATTTAAGGCAATACAGCATTGTGTATGTGTATAAACCTGCAGTTATCCCATGCAGAACTATCCCCAAGCAACACAGCTGAGGCCAACATGCATGTTGACACATGGCTCTCTGCCATCTGGGTTTTGTTAGGAGCTTTGGAGGTGATTGCCTGGTGGGCATCAGAGGACTGCACTGCTTGCTCACAGCTATACCTGCTGGAGAGAGAAGGCAGCCCTAGCCTCATGGCCTCCGGGTCACTGGAGCATCTGCTGCTTGCAGGGGCAGGCAGTGGCTCTCCTGGAGGAGTGACGCTGGGGCCTTAAGCTGTCTGTGTGGTGAAACACTGACTGTTCTTGGTGGCCCAGGGCACTCTTGAGAGACAGCACCTGGCCTTGCTGCTCCTGCCTTCCTCCTCCCCCCTCCCCTGCCCCAGGCCTGACTCTCCAGGCAGAGGAGGTGTCATGTACCCTCATAGAGATAAAACAGTGGTCCCCAGGCCACAGATGAGCCCCAACAGAGAGAGGAGCATGGCCACTGGATTCACCCAGTGACATGGGGAAGCTGCTGGTCACCCGTATGCTAGGACAGATCGCACACAATAGGCCTGCATATTGTGTGGTCTGCAGGCTAGAGACAGAGACCAGGTATCTGTCTTGGTCACGTGGTCAGTCACTCCTCTGGGCTTCCAGATGGCTGCCTGTGCCTTGTGCCCCTATGGTAGGCAGCAGTGAGTCCTGGTCTCTGGTTTGCATGGCAGATGCCATGACCAAGTCCCCTGCCATGCAGCCCTAACCACCTTCCCAAGGCTCTACTTCCAGTTAGTGTCACGTGGGAAGGCCAGGGCATGCGACTCGGGGGACCCAGCTAGCTGGTAACAGGGACCATCCTCACTCCTGCACTCCTGGCAAGGCAGGGATGAGAAGTTGTGTGGAAGGACTGAGAAGTGGACTTATGGACTGAGGCCCTCAGGGCTGCACTGGGGTTCCCCCGAGTACCCCAACACCCAAAGCAGGGCCAGAGGGAGCAGATGCTGAGTGAGCACGAAAGACCTCGCTCTCTCTCGCTCTCTCTCCCTCTTTTGACAAACACCAGCGTGAGCTTGCTGCCAGTGTGCTAACACATTCACACAGACACACAAGGGAGAGAACCCGGGTAGAGACTCATTTTCCACCCATCTGTGGGAACAATTTTTCTTCACACGCAGTTCAGTTCGAGGCTCCTGTGTAGGGTGAGTGTCACATGGCTCCCAGAGTGCGTTGGCATGAGGCCTCATTTGGTCAGTGGTTCCCTGGTTGCATATTCCTGGCCGTCGTGTCCTGTGCTGTCCACAGTTCAGGGAGACCAAAAGGCATGTGTGCGATTTGTGGTGCTGGAGAACGCATTTCTCGCTGCCTTCGTGTAGGTGGCCAGGGCCCCAAACCCTGCTGGGTCTGGACAGTGAAGGCTCTTCTTCAAATTCCAGCAGGCAAAACAATGCACCCCACCCCCACCCAGAAATGACCTCATCACCACCCTCTTCACAGAAAACTCATTTAATTACTCATCAGCAGTTTAAAAACAAAACTAAGTGGAGCTGAACTTTTTTTCTGGAGGGATTTGAGAAGAAATATTTAAAAAGAACTAGGAAAATAAAAGCCTTTAATGATTCTAACATTTAAAACCTAAACAAAGCAGCAAGTGCCAGTAGGAGCAAAACTAATTAGAAATCAAATTGCATTTGCCTTATCAATGCCAAATGCATCCAGGGGAAGCCAGAGGCTGCTGTCATTATTGAATTTAATTTAGTGGAATAATCTGTGGAACAATTTTTCTTGCTCTTTGCAACTGTGGGAGTTGTTTTTGAGGAGTGTTCTTGGTGGGGGGCAGGTTTCCAGAGATGCAGTGATGCGTTGCATACAGGGTACACTCAGGGGTGTCAGGTTGTAGGTGGACCAGAGCTTCTGGAAGCAGGCAGGGCCCTGGCTGGGTCTGCAGGGGAACCCCGCCCCCCCCAATGCTCTGGGCACAGTGAGGGTGGGAATGAGGGCCTGTCAGGAGCAGAGGGGAGTCCAGGTGCCCCAAAACCATGGCACCATTGTTCATTCACACATCCTGAGTGAAGTAGCAGTGAATTCACCTGCTCTCCCCTGAGGGTCCACAGGCAGAAACCACCATCCCCACATCCACAGGTTGCCTTAAACTTCATACCTTCCTGCTAGCTTCTTAGACTACCACAAAGCTTGCTGTTTGTGAGGGGGGACTCGGACAGCAACACATGCACAGTGGGGTGCAGTTCACTCCCCAGCTCCTCCTCATCTCAGGGCGGGTCAAGGTTGCTTTGCTAACCCTGGCAGTCACAGTCCCTATGCACTGGCCCCATGCACTATCCCCATGCACAGTCCCCATGCACTGTCCCCATGCACTGGCCCCATGCACAGTCCCCATGCACTGGCCCCATGCACTGGCCCCATGCACTGGCCCCATGCACTGTCCCCATGCACTGTCCCCATGCACAGTCCCCATGCACAGTCCCCATGCACTGTCCCTATGCACTGTCCCCATGCACTGGCCCCATGCACTGGCCCCATGCACTGGCCCCATGCACTGTCCCCATGCACAGTCCCCATGCACAGTCCCCATGCACTGTCCCCATGCACTGGCCCCATGCACTGGCCCCATGCACTGGCCCCATGCACTGGCCCCATGCACTGGCCCCATGCACTGGCCCCATGCACAGTCCCCATGCACTGTCCCCATGCACAGTCCCCATGCACAGTCCCCATGCACTGTCCCCATGCACAGTCCCCATGCACTGTCCCCATGCACAGTCCCCATGCACAGTCCCCATGCACTGGCCCCATGCACTGTCCCCATACACAGTCCCTATGCACTGTCCTCATGCACTGGCCCCATGCACTGTCCCCATGCACTGTCCTCATGCACTGGCCCCATGCACAGTCCCCATGCACAGTCCTCATGCACTGTCCCCATGCACTGGCCTGCCTTGGGAGCTTGTCTTGGAATCACACAAGGTTGACCCTTTTGTCTGTTTCACCGAGCATATTGTTCTGGAGGTCAGCCATGTTGTTATGTTCCCATTTCACAGACCAAGAGACAGAGGCTGTTTCTATAACTCTCCAAGGCTGCAGTGAGAAAGGACAGAGCACAGCCCCTCTCAAGGCCCGGCTTTCCATTGCTGTTGACCAACCGTGTCCCCAGGCCATCAGGTCAGGATCCCCTTGGAGGTGCCCCTTGCACTGTGAGGAAAGCCTGAGTGACTTTAAGAAGGTCCCTAGTGATCCCTAAGGAAGATTCAAGCTTAGAGTTACGTTCTCCACACTAAGCACCAACTTAGAG